ATCTCGCAGATCCAGATCCTGGCGCTGAAAAATCGTCTCCTGAGTCGGGGCAGTCGTGGGGGAGAGGCCCTTTGATGTGCTTCCAAGTGAGACGGGACTCTCTGTTTTTCCTTTGCTCCTAGGTTCATCCAGAATTGTACGTGGACAAATCGAGGGGAGAGAAACTGAAGATTAACCTGGATGTTCTTTTTCCACACATGCCTTGTGCCTGTGAGTCGCCTTTTGAAGATGGGGAATAATTTTCATACCTGCCCAGGACCCGAGAGACTCAGCGTGCCTGGTGCTTCCAAGTGCTGCGCTGCTGCTGCTCGGACCAGGGACAGGGAGGAGTTGGTGATGCCTTGTGGTTACGTCCTGATGCCAGCCAGGCCCTCTGGGTGCTGAAACCAGTGCTTCCCATCAGGCAGTGTCATTGTTCGTGGTGCCACAGGGCATAACAAATGTGTGTTTACTGACCCTTTTCCTTGCTCACTGGTTTCAGATTTGAGCATCGATGCCATGGATGTAGCAGGAGAGCAGCAGCTGGATGTAGAGCACAACCTGTTTAAGCAGCGTTTGGATAAAGCTGGCAACCGTGTGACTCCAGAGGCCGAGAGGCACGGTAAGATGCTATTCTGCCTTTCTTGGATGAGTGCTCTCATAGTCTTCCCATCACTGTTTGCCTGCTTTGACTTCCAGGGGAACAAGTGACAGCTGAAGAGCGTTTAAACACCACAAACTGTTGAAGAGTTTATAGCACCCAAATCTATTAAACTGGCAGATCAAACTCTTACTGCTCTCGCTACTTTTGTGAGGCAAATCTTTGCCTAGTCCTTCTGCAGTTAAGACAAGGACACCTGGATGGATTTGAGGAATAAAGCTGCTGAGTTAATGGTCTTGTTATTACTAGAAATCAAGCAGCTGTTGTGGCAAAACTTGGCTTTGGTTGTGTCTTTGAATCACAGTGGGCTGACAAATGGGACTACCAGGTTAGAGGACAGAGTATCACTCCAGGGAAGGCTCCAGTGACTCGACCCTTCAGCCTAAACTTGCGCCTGACTACGTTATGTGGGTGTTAATGCGCAGCTGATAAATACATTTGAGTTGGTATGTTAGTTACAAGTTGTAATGAGTGGTCCTTGGCTACGTAAACCTCTCCTCTACGCTTTCTACATGTTATGAATCAGCCTTGTCCTTGGATACAAACCAGAAACAATTATGGGAAAGTCTTGCAGTCTGACAGTAGTGTCAGTCCTGAGTTTTCATTTCCGGAACATGAGCTCCTTATTGCCTTTTCTGGGTGACAGTGTAGTTCTGTGTATCAGCATCAACTAGTTTTGTTGATTTGTGTCACTCAGATTGAACTTTCTTGAAGTTGAAAGGCTAAACTAAGGCAAGAGCTGAACAGTCGGGAGGTACAAGGGTTTCTGCAGTTGTCACGGGAATGTGGTGACAGTGTTGTTACTGCTGTGTCACTTAGCAGCCCGTCTGTATTCACAGGTTGTGGCATGACATTTAATGTCTGGGGACAAAACCAGCTTCTCTCTAGGTACTTTTCTGTTAACACACTTAGGCCTCCTGCCTTACTTGTATTACCAGTCTCCACTGGGATTACTCTGTCTAAACTGGTGTGTAATCAATGGAGAGGCAGAGAAACTTGTAGGGAGCAAACTCTCACATCAAAGAGGCATTGTAAAAGAGATTGGATGCATTGAATGTGACAAGAAGTTTGTTCTGCTGTCTGGAAGAGGCACGCAGGTAGTTTGGTTTCCATCACCCATGTTGCAAGTTATAAGTATCCACTTTATGATTATCAGTTTCTATTAGTAACACTGAACAGTTGGTCAATTATTTAAATGACAACTATAGGAGTATTGACCTTAAACTTAGGAAAGCATAGGCAGGTTTTATGGATTAGTAGCAGGAGGCTTTTCCTAATCATAATTACATTACAATAGTTAATAGCTTAATTATTTCTATGGTAGGTTGCTTGGATGTTGTGTTATGACAAAAAATTACTGAATTATTTATTGGTGATGCTTATAATTTCCTTCCTTTTAAAACGTGGAGAGACTTTTCTGATGTCACATATCATATCTACGTGCAAGTTGAGGACCACGTTAACGTCAAGAAACCCTGCATGTGGAGTTTTATGTACTGCAGTTTCTTTATAGTACCTAAACTGTGGAGCATTACCTCTGGATGCTGTCTCTGAGACAGCTCATCAGGCAGCTACTGATTCCATTTAAAAAGCTGTTACTGGTTGCTGGCTCCATGTGTTGTACAGGTATTGGTGTTCAAATAGTGGGAATTGAGGCTTTGACAAAGCCTAGCAATTATGAAGCTGTATTCCTCCTGATGCCACCTTTTAGTGTCATTACCAGATTAAAAGCCATACTGCTTTTTAAACCATGAATTCTGAAGTGCACTTCCAACTGCTTCAAATGTTGTAAGCTTTAGAAAGAAAGTCTCACACAGTTGTTTAATAATGGGTATATTTTCCTAAAAGTTTTGTATTTGCCTGATTGTAACTAACATAACGTGTTTGATTAAAGAAATCAGGTTAATGATTGATTTTCACGCATATTTAATAACTTTCTAATATAAATATCTTCTTTTTCTGTGGCTAATACAAAACACAGACATCTTTAACACTCACTTCCATCCACCTGTTATACCTTCCTGTCTCAAAAAACAAGGCCCTGATAATGTTCTATGCCCTCAGCAGTATCTGACTGTACCTCATCACCTTCCCCAGCATTAGTTATCCAAGGAGCCACCTTTTCAAGGCTCCAGAGGGTGGCGCAGCAGTGCCTTGAGGGCTTTTGTAAGCTCTAAAAGGCTTGATCCTGTCCTTCAGGATCTGTAAGTTGAAGCAGCCTGATTTTAAGGAGGCCTCATTATAAGATCCAACGTTTTTGAAATTTTTAGATAGGAAATTCCTTGGCTGGCTTATTCTTAACTCCAGAATTTGCAGACCTCTGTTATTTGTTTTGGTTCTTGACAAAACAAAAGGCCTATTTTTAGTTTCTGGAGGTATCTCCTGCCCTTTGGCAGGTTTCAGCTGTCACCCTCCTCTGTGACGAGTCCCTCTGTAGCCTTCTGCACATAAGAACGTAAAACTCTGTGGGTTCATGCCCCAGAGTTTGTGTAATAGGTTTATGTATCAAGTCACAATGTACTGATTTGGTCTACTTGAGAGAAGGTTTTAACAAAGCCTTTATGCAAGTAAGGGCTGATCCACGCTCCAGGGTGTTTTTGAGGTGACAAGTGCTACTTTGCTTCTTGGTCTTCACACCACAGCAAGCTTCTCACCTGAGGATACACCACACACCTCTGTGTATCATTTCAGGTGGGCTTTGGGTGCAGGAAGCACAGCTTCAGACACAAAGTAATTGTATTCACAGTGTTTCTAGACATGCCTCATCACTTTGAATGCTCTTTTGTCTTAGAGCTTGGGAAAGAAGAAGAAAAAATATTTGATCCAAATTCTTTGGATGCCGATCGCTGCGAGAGCTGTTACGGGGCAGAGTCAGAGGACATTCGGTAACCTTTACCCTTTTTCATATCTTCTTGCACTTGAATTCATACTGTTATGTTACCTGCATGTTTGTTTGGGGTTTTTTTTCCAAATTCCTGTGAAGATCTGTGCAATGAAATCCTCCTGGGCCACGTGTTCAGGGGATGGTAGAACTGTTGTGGCTTTGCTGTGCCTTTGGAAGCTGCACTCATGATTGTTAAGAAGGTACAGAGTTAGGTTGTCTAGTTTGTCCACACGCCTGTTTAAGGGTGGTGCAAATCGCGCTGCCTTTGCAGTAGCACAAAGATTGTACCTCAGCAAAGGGAATCTTTTCTGGGGTTATTTGGTGTCCAGAGGGGAGCTGTGTAAATTATTTCACTGTTACCTGAACTGTTTTGGAATAAAACCTAGTTATGGCCTTTCCTTCTCACTTCTGCTGCAGACTTTGCATCCTTACCAGAGCAAAGACAGATGTCACACAAACAATGAGTGTCATTTGGTGTTTCTCATTCCTCCTACTTGCAAATTCCTGTAAGAATGGATCCATGATAGTCCACAGTTTCTGGACTATCCTTTGCTGTTACTGTCTGTGTAGTAACTTGGTTTGTCCTGTCTGTCAAGTTGCATTCTACCTCAGAGATGTTCCCATCTTGAGGGATTCATTATTCCAACCTTCAACTCTTTCTTTAGTCCAGCAGAACCAAGAAAGGAAACTGTTTTTTCCAGTGACCAAGGTGTTATCCAGAGGTAGAAAAGTAATGAAGAAAGTTTGCCATTGACCCTCCCTCCATTGTTTACAGTCTTGGCCTAAAAACAGAGGAAAGGAGGAATAGAAACAGGGAGATACTTTGTTCACATGGACAAGTTCCAAACTGCTTAGGACTGTGGGACACTGATGTCATTTTTGTGGCAGATATCTTTGCCAAGGAGTGACTTGGCTGTCTACATGGACAGGCAAAGCCCTCTTCAGACTCAGGCTCTGCATTCCACCAGCTTACCTCCTCATGCCAAAACCTCAACAAGTACATCAAGAAGCTCGAGCTGCCTCAGGAGCATTAGGACAGCTTTCAAAGTCCAAGTCCCTGATGTTTGCTTTCTTGATTGGTTGAAGAGGAATCCACCAAGGATTCAAGTCCTGAGTTGGAGCATCTCTTTCTAGCGATGATAAGATGGTGCTTATGCTTTTGCAGGTGCTGTAATACTTGTGATGATGTCAGAGAAGCCTACAGGCGGCGAGGCTGGGCCTTCAAGAATCCAGATACCATAGAGCAGTGCAAGAGGGAAGGATTTAGCCAGAAAATGCAAGAGCAGAAGAACGAGGGCTGTCAAGTGTATGGTTTCCTAGAGGTTAACAAGGTGAGAAGTGGGTTTTGCTGGGAACCTGCTGCATGATGGTGACGACTGTGAAAATGCAGTTTTGGGGCATTCCTCTCCTTTTCCAGCTTCTGGTGTTTACAGCACTGTAATGTAAGAACCTCTGGGCCCAGCGAGGTGCTCGTGCCTGTAAGGGAGTTCAACAGGGGAGTCAAGAAGAGCTGTGGGAAGGTACGGGCTCTATTGTATGGGCTGTCAGGAAGCATGCTGGCTGGAGAAGCTTAGCTTTTCCTACCGTCTAGCTAGCAACTCTTTTTGCTGAGGTTTCTGGAAGAGGAGAGGCAGCTTCTATGAGGTTTGATTGTCCCGCCTGTCCTTATCATATAATCATAGAATGGTTTGGGTTGGAAGGGACCTTCAAGATCATCTAGTTCCAACCCCCCTGCCATCAGCAGGGACACCTTCCACTAGACCAGCTTGCTCAAAGCCCCTTCTAGTCTTAAAACAGAGAGCACCAGTGGATGCTGGAGATAACAGTAACCAGCAAGTTGCCAGCAGAGGTGCTGGAGAGAGTGAAATGTTATCTTCTATAAAATCCTAAACAGTGGAAACGAGACTATTGGAGTTAGTTGTCAAAGCTGAAAATGCTCAGAAGGGTGGTTTTTTTTGCCACTGGTATATGAAAATGTAGTGTGAGCTGTACCAGATAACTACATAATAACTACATAACTACCCTGTCATTTGGTGGGTTCCCAACCCCAGAACAATTGCACATTGCAGGTTACGTACCCAAGTACCTTCTAGAAGTCAGGCCCAGGATATTTTTTTTTTTTAATTTTTTTTTTTAATTCAAACTCTGTTTTCTTTACATCTTATGTGTACTCTTCCCAGAGACCATGTTCTTTATTTCTGGCTGTAATCTTTCTCACAAAGCCAGATGTGATTTGAGCATCATCATGGGTACTGAACAGTTAAGGGACCCTGTGTCGCAAAGTGTGATGAGCAGGAAAGATTGGCTGGAGGTAGCAGGGGTCCAGGGGTGGGTGTCACAGGGGAAATTTCTAAGGGCTCTTGTTACAGACTGGAATTTTGCACATCTCCATTCTGTCAGGTCTGCAGTTAACATAAGCAATAGGTTTGCACAGACATTGAAGATGGAATATAGCACATGAGCTCGGGACCTTCAGATCTTCTAGGGGAGAGTGCATATGATTGCTAGTAAGTGTCAGGGAGGATTGGCACCTAATATCCATCTCCCTTGCAAATTCCAGGATGAAATTTTAACAGCCTTTGTCTTTTGGGGTTTTTAAAAAAATCTTTTGTTTGTTTGTTTGTTTTTTATGTTTAGTGCTGTATTTTTGCATGCAGCTTATTTTCATGGATGCATACACTGTTGTTTATTGCATGAAGGGTTTTTTTTACCCTGCTCTCTCTCCCTGTCAGTTACTTTCTCCACTTCTTTTCTGCAACACCTTCTTGTATTTCCTTCAGTAGCAGTCAGTTCCCTCACAATGGACTTAATTCCTCCTTCTTCCCATTTTTATGTCCACTAAAACTATTGGCATAGGACAGTTATTATCAACATCAGTATGTAATTATGGCTTTCAAGATGATGACTGCCTGTGAGGAAGAGGGGGAATTCATACCTCTTTGAGGACAACCTCTGCTGATATTGCCACCTATGAAAATGAGTTGCTTGGTGTGTATCTTGTTCAAACCAAAATTTAAAAATCCAAGCACCAGTATGACTTATTGATACAGATGCTTTATTGATACAGATTCCAGCCTTTTAATGACAGATTACTGTCTCCTGCAGGTAGCTGGAAATTTCCACTTTGCACCAGGAAAAAGTTTCCAACAGTCTCATGTACACGGTAAGGGATTTTCTTTTCCATGATGATGATGATTTCTTTAGGGCATGTGATATTAAGGCGTGTGCTCTGCTCAGTTGTTAGTTTAGATCTGTTGTGCCTCTGTGTGTAACAGCAGTTAGAGGAGTTACGTGTATCAGGTGGTGACTAAAATAACAGTGAAGTTTTCCTCGCTTGCCCCTGGGGTCTTGTTTTTGCCCTAGATTAAGGGGAGGACTGAAATGCCTAATCTGAATTAACCCCAAATTAAAGTTACTTGCCTTGATTCTGGCAGTGGCTAGTCTATGTCAGGAGGGGAATTGCAGCAGTTTTATCTGTCACATCCCCTACTGCAAGCAGGACAGAAACCCAGGCAATTTTTTTGCCATTTTAGATCGCAATGGAAATGAGAGGAAGTGCCTTATAAGATAGAATAAGGTAAATAGAGATGATTTTTATCGCAGTCTGAACTGTACTGTTAAACAATTTTTCTGTTACAGTTCACGATCTTCAGAGCTTCGGACTCGATAATGTAAGTGTTTCCAAGACAGTGTTCTAGTTCTCTTGGTCTGTTTTCCTTCTGGATTTCCTCGCCTTTGCCACGTTATGATCCTAGTGTACTGATCCCAGACAGATTTATGAGTCTGAGCAGAACCTGGGACCTGCTTTCAGACAGGGCTCTGCAGTATGTTCTGGGACATGTTGCTTGGCAAGCTTGTTCCCCTCTTCCTGAGACTGCCTTGCTCCTTCATCTGTGCTTCCCAGTTTTCTAAGGTTGATGTTTTCACAACTGCTTCTGGATCTGTTGGAGTTTACTTTGTGCTGGGACAAAAGCAGATGATAGCCATACCTGACATACCATACTGATGGCATGGTCCTGCTATTGCAGGAAGAGGAGTGGGTGGGAGAAGAGCCTGCTCTGTAGATAGAAGGGAGGGGCACCAGGATCTGGGGATTTCCAGCAGGAAAAGGAGAAATTCCACATCCTGGAATCTTCCACGAATGAAAAAGAAGAGCCAGTGCTTTGGAGTTTAGTGTTAGGACGTGCAGTGTAAGGGAGGACCTGTCTGTGTTCCAGAGCCACACTCAGAAAAATATAGGAACAATTAACTTCAGGCCCCTTACCTTTCCCGTCAGATGCTGTGCAGTTGTTTGAGTTATTAGCATTTCTATTTCAGATCAATATGACGCACTATATCAAACACCTCTCATTTGGAAGGGATTATCCAGGCATTGTGAACCCTCTGGATGGGACAGATGTCACTGCACAGCAAGGTAAAAGCCAGCTGAGAGAAATCTCTTTTTTAAGTGTCTTAATAAGTGTTAGAAGAGAACAGGAGCGAAGTTCCCAGTCTTTAACAAGAACCCTGATAGTGTAGCGTAAAACTTGGACCCTCCACCTTCTGCTCTTTCTGGAACAGCTGCCTCCATTCATTTGGAACAAATCTGCCAATGTGTTTTGATTCCGAGACCTTTCTGAAAGATCACTCTTTTCAGTGTTCATAGATGCACAACAGCAGGTACAGCATGTCATTATTAAACACATCAGGTATAGTTCAGGGAGAGCCCTGTCTAGCTACTGCATGCTGTAGGAGATAACCAGAAGAAGCAGGAGAGACAAAAAAAGCCTGATAGATAGTTGCTGGAGAGCTGTGGTATCTGCCTGACTTTCATCTACTAATAGCTGCAGTGAAGTTGAAATATTGCTGATCTTTTCTAGATAGCTCCAGTTTGCTGCCTTGAGAAGGAAAGGCAATTCTCTCCTCATGCTGCTGCTGCTGCTCAGACTCTAACCTTGGTTTATTCACACAGGCGTACTTGTGTGAATTTCCATGAAAGATCCTGACTGTACCACTTCATCAGAGTTTAGTTATTTTTTCAGATGTGCTGAAGTCTGCAAAGTTTGTCTTTGCAGGTACTTGGGGTGCTGTTGTATAATAAAGCTTGGAGGAATAAGTCATTTGCTTCGAGGTGGTGGTGTGATGGTTAATCTTACCTGAATCAATTCTTTTACATTTTCCATCGTCGATTTTAGTTCTTGTAACCAAATCAGAGGATGGTGCTTAAAATAAAAGACAGAAAAATGAAAAGGTGTCATAATGCTCAATACAATCATGATGCTGTTGTTTTTCTGTGGAAAAACAAACTCTCCAAAAGGGGGCCCATAGCTGGCTGGTAAAATTCTCTCTCTAGGCTGAAGTTTTCCTTCCTGGGCCTGGGAGAACCAGTTGGCAACTTCTTGAGGAATTAGGATTTAAGGTGTGCTCCAGAGAAGAAGTGGGAGAAGTAGACTGCAGGTCAAATTGATGTTTATTGCAGACCAGCTAAAGATATTGAAGATGAGAATTACTTCTTCTGTAGAAATGAATGAATAATCTTCTCCTCCAGGGAATTTCATAGAAAATAGGTTTTCAGTGCGACTCCTGCCTTCCATTGTCCTTGAGAGGACTGAAGGAACAGCCTGGTCCATGGCAGCAGGAGTTCTGGTTTTTTCTTCACTGATCCAGATCTTCCTTTTCACCTCCTGATAGGATAAAAACCCTGCTTCTACAGGAACAGACAGGACCAATTTCAGGATACTGATTTAAAGTTGAGTATGTTTTCTTAGGGCTATGCTGTTAAATATAAAGGTTTTCATGTGCTAGAATAAGAAATTTCAGGAAGTTGTACTAGTAAAACTATAGCAAGATAACAGGTTTGTAGAAAGTTTTCCATTTAGCCAAGGCCAAAATGGTGGTAGTTTTGGTTTTGGTTGGAACAGGAAGGAGATTCACATTGGCAGAAAGAAAACTCATGTCAGACATTAACTTTACTCTCTTTGAATACCTCCAGTAGCTGTTGTGCAGAAAGATGTCCCTTGACAAGTTAAACAAAACCAATCTGTGTCTATCTCACCTGTCAGTTAAGCTTTCCAGCTCTTTGCTGGTTATTAATTGTGTCTCTCTGTTTTTGCTTATAGCTTCCATGATGTTTCAGTATTTTGTCAAAGTGGTCCCCACGGTGTATATGAAGGTTGATGGTGAAGTAAGTACCTTGTTTTTTATCCCTATTGCTTTGGCAAGCGAAAGCCTTTGGACTTTCTCCTCAATTTCTGTTCCTGACCATATCTGACCTTTGCTAGAAGCAACACAATCTGTTTGACTTTCTTCATATAACCACCCCTGCAAGAATAACAATATCTATGGTGTAATGTTACCTGTAATGTTGCAGCAGTGATGAAGCAGATTTCAGTCTCCTCCACCCCACTTAGATCAAAGTGACCATGCCATTTTCATCATCACAGAATCACACAGAATGTTAGGGATTGGAAGGGACCTCGAAAGATCATCCAGTCCAGTCCTCCAACATCATTATCATTATCATGTTCCCTCCTGAATCCTTCCTAATGCATGCTCAGGAGAAGTCAAAGCAGCAAGGACATCATAAAAATGGTCTTTGGAGAATAACCCGAGATCAATTTATCTACCATTTAAAAACTCCTTTTGCCTCCAAAAGAGCATGGAAATCCATTCCAGCCCTGCTTTCAGAATACATCCTTATTTGGGGATAAACAAATTACTGAGTGGATACGAGGGTGAGATGAAGATCTTGAGAACAGAGACAAACTTGCTCTCTCTTCTGAAACCAGCCTGTGGGAACGAAAAGAGCTGTGATTTCTTTTGTTCATTTGGAAGTATTTATTTTGATTGCCATTATTCTGCAGGGGATCTCAAGAGCTATGGAGAACCTCTTTTAAAAAATGAAACAAACCTGTCAGTTATCATTATTTGGGCCCCCATAGTCTTAGGGCAGCAGAATGATGTAAGCTGTTCTGTTTCTTCTGCAAAGAAAATGCCAGTAGAGGTAGCAGGTCTACTGTTGTGCAGACTTCACCACCCATGTTACCCAGTGTACTTATCTAACCCTGCAAAGAAGAGACAACTGCCACATGCCCCAGCACCTCTGTGAACATTCACGTACAAGATGGCTTAGCTGCCTACCTGTCTGCCAGGTTTTGGTTCTGTATCTTCTACGCTGCATGGGTGGTCCATGCCCAGTTTCACTTTAACACCAAACCAGTTTCCTCTGAGGTGAAACCCACGTGTGGTTCTGAGGTTTGTTCAGTGCAAGAACTGATCTACATGAGTATGAAACTACCAGAATTTGTGGCTGCTCCTCCCTGGAAGTGTTGAAGGCCAGGCTGGATGAGGCTTTGAGCAACCTGGTCTAGTGGAAGGTGTCCCTGCTGATGGCAGGAGGGTTGGGACTGGATGAGCTTTAAGGTCCCTTCCAACCCAAACCATTCTATGATTCTGTGATTCTATGTACCACGTATTCTTGCTATCGGAACGACATATTACTGCACATCCACACAACCTTCACGTTGCTGTGGGCAACATACTCTGAAGTGTAAATCACTGGCAGATTATTAGTTAAATTGAAGGCTGCGTAGGAACCACAGATCTGAGGAGCTGCAAGGCCACAGTAGGTACAATGCCAAGTAAAGCTATCCTTGAGCAGTGTGGGCAGAGCAATCTGACAGAATCCATTGGAGAGGTAGACACAGTTTGTATTTCTTCATTTCTTCTGCCCTAAAGATTGAAACTGCTTGCAAGACTCTGTTCTCAGGTGATAAATCCTTATGTGGAGCACTCTTTCTTCAATCCCCTGCCTAGAAAGGACCCATCTGTTCTTTCCGGGAAGTCGGGTGGAAGTTACTTGCTATAAGGTGATACTGGAAGAACCTTCAGACCATGTTTGAAGCTCATTCTGCTTGGATTCAGGATGCCTCTGCAGTTTCTGTAGATGATTGAAATTCCTGAAGTACAAAGGATAGTTAAATGGTGCCCTGTTCTTATGGGCACTTCCTGGTGCCATAAGCCACCATGGCTTCTGTTTCTCTTTCTGATGAAACCTTGCATTCTGCTGTAGAGCTGTTGTTCAGTTTTCAAAGGACTTCTGTCAAAAGAATTGCTTTTTATTAGTCACCCGGAGAGGAATCCATGCGGATCATGATGCTTTTCCTTGTGGTAACTATGGATCCAAGTATGCTGCCAGATGTATACCAGGGGCCCTGTTATACAAGCACTATTTGGAACCCCCAAATGTGGAACTTGGTGAAGATACTGGATAGTATCTTTGTCACCTTGGATCATAATTTGTGTCAGATAGCTTATTAGGGATGATAGAACATAATTTCATTTTACAGAAACCCCATTTATTTGCTCTAAGACTTAAGACTGGTGTGAACAATGTGTAGAAAAACAGCAGACTGCAGAAGAATGCTGCAGGGTGATCTTCATGATCTTTAAGGTCCCTTCCAACCCAAACCATTCTATGATTCCATTATAAAGATGGGCAGTCTGTGTCCTGCAACCCTGGCACTCTCCTGCCTTGAACTCATGTTTTAGCAGCCTTTCCCACTCCTCATTAACAACAAATGATGTTTGCTGTGTTTGTTTCCTGCTTAGGTGGTAAGGACTAACCAGTTTTCAGTGACACGACATGAGAAGATAGCCAACGGGCTACTAGGAGACCAGGGTCTGCCTGGTGTGTTTGTGCTATATGAACTTTCGCCCATGGTGGTGAAGCTGACAGAGAAGCACAGGTAAGAGACATTTCAATCTATTATTTCATTCACCCTCTACTGATTTTTTGTTATTTTGCATGGCTTAAAAGTCCATCCTCGCTTAGACATGACAATGCAAATGCCTGAAAGCCATTCAAGCCCCTTCCCAGTCAGTGGAGAGGAAGAGACACTCCCAGATGTCCTTCCTCTCAGTGTGAACATCTGACAGGGATTGGGATTTTTCTGATATAGCCTGAAGTCTTTTAATCCAGTATCAAGATGGAGAAGGAAATTGGTGCAGCAAGCAGAAGTCTGATATAATGGTTCTCGGTTCAGACTAATTTCCTCAGTCTTTTTTAACGGGAAGACTAGATTTCTATAGCATCCCCATCTTCCCAGCACCTACATCAGCAGCCACACCAGTCCAACCTGGTCACTTACTCTGCATTTGCTCTAGCTTTTTTGCATGTTGTAGTCAGTGTGGAACTTCTTGTTTCTTTCTGAGTCTTCACAGGGAATGGAAGGGGTTGTATCTGTCTGATCTTTTAGGATCGTAATGAGGGACACACAGTGTCTATACTTTAAAATGCATTAATGTGCTCAGGGATTTAGTTTTTATGTCACAGCAGCAGCCTGCTGTGCATTCTATCTGGGTAGGAATCGGTAAAATTTTAGGGATTAAAAGTCCATCCTTTAGGTTTGTAAATTCAGTACTTGCCTCCTAGGGTTGCTGTTGAGCTCATTAGAGCGCACTGCTCTAATGTTAATCAATGCTGCTCAGCAAAAGTATCAGTGACAAACTCTATTCTGTAGCCAAAAGGGTTTATTTAGTTGTTAAATCTGTTAATTGACAGTGATTAATATTCATATGATGCATACTTATGTGCGATGATGACCATTCTGATAATTAGGAAGTAGTTTTTATTTATATTTTATTTTATTATTTTTATAATATA